TATTTATCACCATTTTAAGTTCAGAGAGTTAAATAGCTTACCCAAAGTGAGTTAGCAGATGGGGCTAGAACATGTTTCCAAATCGAATGGTAACAAAATCCATGTATAGTGCCAACCAACTTTAAAGAATGAAATATGGAAATATTAACATGTATTTTATGTATTTTATTATAACATATTTTGGTAAATCTATACTGCAAATAATTGCTTAGTTTATGGTTATGCTTTATCTCCAAATACAGTGTTAAAGATGGCGCAAAGTAAGATTACTTGGGTCCTTTTACAACAGATAAAAAAGCTTAACGTTCAAGTGGATTTCAAAGAACATTTAGATATAAATATAGTATCATCAGTTGGAAAAAACTACCAAGACAACACTTCATCCCAAATAACAACAAATCAGTGCTTGATACTGCTAAAACTTTTCAAAGATATATAACAACGATGACACCAAGTTTATATAAATATGCCACTTGTACAATATGGAATTTTATAATAGCAAGGAGCCAGATTACTTTAATATCAAGTTCTGTAAAAATAAATATGTATGTATTTATTGCTGGAGTTGAACCCAGAGCCTCACACATACTAAGCATGTGCTCTATCACTGAACTACACCCCCAGCCCTAAGATTTATAAAAGTTGATATAGAACATTTTAATGTAAAATGATGAAATTTTGGGGAAAATAAAAATTATATAAATTCCTTAAGAAAGGAAGACCAAGCCAAAAAAAAAAAAAAAAAAAAAGTTATAAAAAAAGCACTAAAAAACCTCCCCAATTATAAATTGTTAACCAATGAGTCTTTTAATCAGTACTTACCATTAGCTTTTCAAAGGTAATTTCTGGGAACAGTAAGTTTCTTATGGCTTTTGTTTTCTTTTCAATACATTGAAACTTGTTTATTACAGAGTGAAATTTGGTATAAGATGGGTTATTTTGGCCCTAGTCCAAGAGGGTTTAGTTACTGAAAGCACCTCATTATAAGGTGGTCTTACCAATAAGGTGATCCACTGGCTCAGATCCCATGGATATTATAACAAGGCTCCATTGTGGAGTACAGGAAGCCAGGCAGCTAATGGTTCCATCAAATGAAACCCTTCGAAACAAAATTCTTTTTTTTTTTTTTTTTTTTTGAGACATGAAAATCGTTTAGGGCTAAGGGATCATAATCATAAGCCTTGGTCATTTTTCTAAATTTCCATTTCCTGAAATGATGTTCTTTATTGTATGTTTCATAGCTGCACAGATATTTCACATTAAGGTTTTAGCTTTCTTAGACATTCATTGCCTGATGTGGTCTTAAACTTTTTTGATTATGAAAAATTTCATTATTAATACTATCTTTACAAATGATTGACATCATTTTGCTATGGAAATAGACAAGAAATATAACAAGAATTCATAAAAGTTGAAATAAACTCTTGTATGGTAGGCTGAGAAATTTGAGATTAAAAAGAGTGTAAGTAAGAATAACTGTGTGGTAATCAAATATACAAAGAATGCCATCATTTACAGATGACTACAATAACCAGTCTTTCAAGTGATTTTACAACAGGCACTTTGATTTCATGAAGAAGTTTTATAAGCAGTTCTAAAGAATTAAATATTTTGAGTGTGTTTTATTATAGGAAAATAATAACATGACAAAGTCCTATTGCAGAAAAATAGTATAAGAATACTCTTTTTTAAAATTAATGTTTTGAATAGAAAGATCATAAGAATAAAAACAAAGCCTTATGTGAATGTAAAAGCAGTGCCAAACTTAAAACCATGTAAAAATAAAATGCATAGTAGGAGCATAGTAAGAATTCTCATTAATTTCCAACACTATTTTATAAAGTTTTTTGGGGGGCGTGAGGTACTGGGGGTTGAACTTGGGGGCAGGCACTCGGCCACTCAGCCCACACATCCCCAGCCCTATTTTGTATTTTATTTAGAGACAGGGTTTCACTGATTTGCTTAGCACCTCACTGTTGCTAAGGCTAGCTTTGTACTTGCGATTCTCCTGTCTCAGCCTCCTTAGCCTCTGGGATTACAGGTGTGTGCTGTGCCTGGCTACAATTTATAAAGTTTTAAATGATTCATCTAAAATTCAAATATCATCTATTCTTTACATTGTACCTTTCTTCCATGAATAAATCCCTTACTGCAATGGTAGTTTTCATGATTCATGGCCTGTATCTATATATATTTTTAGCTCTTCCATATTATTTTATATGCATTGAATATATAAGACAAATTATCTGATAAAACAATTTCTAACATATATCTCAAAAAGTTTAAAAAATAAACCAGTCAAATAACTTTTCCTTTTCCTATAGGATGGTTCATTGTCAGATGATCTATATCCATCAATCTACAGTTAGGGAAAGCTTTATATAAAGCAAGAGTGTACATCAGATACATGATTGGTTACTAATAATTAACTGCTAACTGATAATTAATTGGTAGCCCGCCAAATGCCAAGTACTCTTTCAAATGCTTTCATATGTTTTAACAATGATATAAACATCTTAAGAAAAAACATGTTATCAGTAATGAATACCTTCTATTCTACAAAAGCCAGTAGTTTACTTCTGGACTATCATCTTGGTCAAAATTGTGATTTGAGGAGTGACTATAGACCTATTTCAACAGTGATATCATTGTGCAAAATTTTTGAAACACCTTTTAGTTTTACTAAAGGCTTGTGGCACATGTCTATGCACATTCTCAGTAATGGAAAAATCTTAGCCTAAAAGGATTAGATTCTTGAAAGAATAAAAAAAAAATCTTATTTTGGGAAAGGGGATGATAAAATTGGGTAATAACAGTAGAATCTAACTACAAAATAATATGCTTGATTTCTTCATGTACTTTAGCAATTCTTCTAAAGTCAAATTTAAAAGTCCCCAAAATGTCTTAAGCTTTCCAAGTCATTATGTACCTATCCTATGCTCCCTAAATGTATGTTTTATTTTAAGCATTTTGGAATAAAAGCAAGTCAAAACTGACTCAGAGTAAAATGTCAACAGATATTCCTTTAAATCTTATATATTTAAAGTAGAAAGGGGTTTGTATGACTTTATAGTACTAAATTTTACATTTCATAGATAAAATTAATTCTGTGTAAGACATGGTATTGCCAATATGACTTAGCAAATTAGAGCCTGAGCAAGGAATAGAGTCCAAGTCTCCTATCTTCTACTTGGTACTCTTTCCCCTACCATGTTACCCTTATCTGTAGTTTAATCAATTTTAGAGGGGAATAATGGTTTCACTCTTTCAAAACAATGTAGCAATTATATTCTAATCTAATGTTTGGTATTTATTACTTACTGAACAACTAAGAAAAATACATAATATTAGGAATCTAGTATTGGGGTCTAATATATCCCAATATTTAGAGATAAATTCTTTAACTGATAAACTGTCAATTTAAATGTCTCTTAACTATTTTTAGGGTTGCAATAACCAATGCTATAGAAGGAGATAAGCTGTATTAAATAAAAATGCTATAAAAATGAAAGCAAAATATATGTATATGTAATAATTTCTCTAAATGAATGTTAAAAATATCTGACTACTAGTAATTCTGACTTGATAACATGCTATATGAACTACTTGCACAGCTCATAAAATTTCAGTTTTGTCTGGGAATGTAGAAGCCTTGAGTACCATATGCAAGGCCCTGGGTTCTATCACTAGGAGCAAACAAAACAATTCAAGTCACTCACAAGAAGTCCAAATTGCCCACTGAATAACAGATGTTTCTTAGAAAAAGATTAGTGTATGTATTTTTGGAATGAAGTCAGAAATGGCCACACCACCCAGCCCCCCTGCCTTTTGTGGTACTGAGGATTGAACCCAGGGGCACTCTACCACTAAGCTTCATCCTGAGTCCCACACCCGGACCCCAGCCACTTTTTTGAGACATGCGTCACTAAGTTGCGAAGGCTGGCCTTGAACTTGCGATTCGCTTGCCTTCACCTCCTAAATAACTTGGATTACGGGCATGCACCATCACGCCTGTTAAGAAGAACATCTTTTATAACCATTTTTGATCAGATGTATAATTTCATTCACTAAAGCATAAACACACTCAAAATTTACAGAAAGGATTCATGTCCTTTAAAGAAACATATTTCAGCTGTAGTACATATATGGGTTTGCTTATTAAATTTATACATCAAGTTTTCTATCTTTATAAAAGTTGTATAATTTAAGTTATATTATAAAATACCACTTTCTTCCCCTCTAGAGCTGGGGATCAATTATCACCTTTCCCTGTAATGATGATGAAGTTAAATAATTAAGAATTGAATATGTGGAATATTTCATTTGGCTTTTTTTTTTAACTTTACATAATTTTGTTCATGATGTTTAATTTTAGCTTTATCAAACGAAAGGTAAAACAACTTCAGTTAAGAATGCATGCTGTTGCTAGGTACAGTGGTGCACATCTGTAATCTCAGCTACTTGGGAGGCTGAGGCAGGAGGATCACAAGTTGGAGGTCAGCCTAGGAAACTTAGCAAAACTGTGCCTCAAAGTAAAGTTAAAAAGGGTTAGGGGTGGAGAAAGCATGTTATTTCCTTCCTTAATTTTTCTGACTTGGCAGTTTGGTTAGGGAATAAATTCTTCAAGACAAATTTTGATATCTAAGAAAAAAGTCAGACCAATTGAAAGTAAAACATATAGTGAAATGTAGCTGAGATTTGACTAGATGCAACTGCTACTAATATTTATATATCAGCGTGAAAATAAATGGATAAAGCGGACTACAAAATATGAACAGTTAATGTGAAATTGGAAGTGCCCTAGTAAACTGTAGATATCTTTCAGATTGATTAATTTTAAATTACATTTAGCTAAGTAAGACTTATTAGAGGAATAAACTTTGTATGAATCACTTTATCAAAATTTGAGAATAGTAAAATTTACATTTCTGAACATAAAATTAGATTAAAAAATCTGATAACAATGAATTAAAGTGAAAATTTAAAGTAAGACCATTTTATCGAATGCGTAAATTATTCTTTACATGTCATTAATTTTATTCTCTTCAATATGAGTGATTCTATTCAACTTTGTTTCTGGGTAATCCTCAGCTTTCACATCTCTGACTGAATTCACTCCTTTCATAGTTCTAATTTCAAAAAAGTCTCCAGCTAAAATGCAATTTGAATTATTACTGAATCCATCGGTTTCAACTAGCTTATTTTTTTCTTCATCTGTTTCTACAGAATCATAAAGTTCAGGTGTAAAATAGATAGATTCATCTTCTACTTCTGTTTCAAAAGTTGTATTTAAACTGGAATGTTTAGCTTCTTCACATTTCTGAGACAGTTCCAAATCTGGATCCTGGGCTTCTTTAGAGCAGAACAGTTGTTTTGAATGATCTTTTTTGGAAAGAGTAGTGTCAATCTTTATTGATGAAATAATGTTTTCCGATTGAGGGCATAGCCCAAACGGCATGTTTACTTTTATATTTGAGGAATCATATTTATCAGTAAGTGGCAAAGTAGTTTTATTTTCCTTATTTTCTTCTTTGAAAGTGGAAGAACTAGAGGCACAATTCTCTGATGTACTGAGCTGGGGTGTAACAGCCTGCATCTTGCCAGTAAAATACTGTCCTAAAGAATTAAAGTTAGACCAGCTAACTTTCTTTGTTTCTTTACTGAAAGTTGGGCTTGAGGATCTGGAAATCACAAATTTTTCAGCTTTCTTTGCTTGGACAGACTCTTCCAATAATACTGGATCATCTAGAAATACAAAAATTTAAAAACTTTAACTTTCTGCTCCTAGCTAACATAATAATTGTTATAAGTATTTCTTAAATTAGGAATGCTTAAACAACTATGTAGAATACATAATTTAGAGCCCAAGATCAGTAATGTTAGACTTTCATCTTAGAACTTAAAGAACAGAATTTTAATTCTGAAAGGAATATCAATCTCATTGTTTCCTAGCCCAAGTTATAATGCTGTCTTCTAAACTTCAAATTACACATCAGGGACCTCAATATTGAATGAGAAAAAGAGGGGTAAAAAGGAAAAGGGCTCAGTAAAGGAGGGAACAAGTCATAAAAATATGCCTTGAAAATTCACCAATCAATGATTGAGAAAAGCTGCCCTAGACTAATTCCTTATATAGCAAATAAGGAAACTAACAAGCACAGAACCATTATTATTTGTTCAAAGTTATAAAACTGGTTAGTAGTTAAGACCAGTACTAGAATCTAGGTTTCCTGATTACCAGTACAATAATCTTGGATTCACTATGACACTTACTCAGAAGCATATACCACAAAATAAATGTTTAAAAATCGATGTTAAGATACAATGCTATATGAATTAAAAAATTAAATTTATATACAATAACCAGAGTTTGGCAAACTTTTTCTATTACAGGCCAGATAGCAAATATTTTAGGCTTTGCAGGTCACACTCTGTTCCAATTACTTAATTGTACTACTCTAGTGAAATACACACACCTAGTCAACTTTGTTGTTGTTTGTAATTATGTAAATGAATGGTGTGGCTGAGTTCTGTTAAACTGATTTACAAAACCACAGCAGGTTTGTTTGCTAATCTGATACAGACTATTATTTCTAATATACTCTAAAATATTTATTTTATCATATGGCATAAAACAAAGAAGTTCATATGAGAAGCATCTCCAAATTAAACCAATTTTTACACAAACTTTAAAATAACAATCATCTCTACAATATGTCTTATTTGACCTTTATAACCCAAGCTGGAGGGATAGCTAGGCAGGTATACATTTTTTCTTTTATGACTCAAAAAGGTTAAGTGGCTTGCTAAGAATCACAAAGCTAGTAAAAGGCACAGCAGTTAACAGAAAACCAAAAAGCATGCCCTGACAAAGGTCTGTCCCCGATTCCAGTCCACCGTATTATTTCACTATTTTTGATAACAATTTCTATTATAAGTTTCAACATATTTAAGGAAATAAATCTATCCCAAAATAAATATCATTTCTCTATCATGAAAGACTTCTTTATCAAATATAAATGGGCAGAACTTTTCATACCTTTCTCTTTTCTAGAGATGATATCACTTGGTAGAAATGAGTTTTTAGTAATCACTTTAGGACACTGTAGTTCTTGGACACACATTTTTGTTTTACATTTCGTAGGATGTTCTGGTGGTAGATAACTTAATGTATCAAGTAAATAAGTAGGGCTATCATTCTCCAAATAGGACTCTTCAAGAGTAGATTTACTGTCTTGTATACACTTTTGGTCCTTTTTGGATATATCAATGATTTTTTGGTGCTTTTTGGAAAATTCAGCCAAGGATTCCAGTGCACTTTCAAAAGTTGAATGGTGCTGAATCTGCTGCCTTATCCATTTAGAAAGTCCTAAAGAAAAAGTAAACCCAGAGGTATGTGTAAGATAGTATGTATTAAGAAAAAACTTCATTTTTCTAATGAAGTAATCTAATTTGCATTTGAATATTCAGAATGATTTTCAATATTTTTTCCTTCAATTTTATTTTATATGCACATGATTTATAATGGGGTTATATCTTGGGAAACCCATCATTAAGCTGAAACTATTGTAAATTGAAAAAGCACTTAATGCATCTAACCTATCCTACATGATAGCTGAGCAACACAGTATATACTATAGAGTACCAGTTGTTTATTGGCATGATCACTTTGGCTGCGTAGGACATGCAGCTCACTGTTGCTGCCCAGTTTCACAAATGAGAATTATACCATGTATCACTTGTTAGAAAAATATCAAAATTGAAAAAGATCAAAAGTAAAGTATGGTTTCTGCTGAATGTGCATCTCTTTCATAATTGTAAAGTTGAAGAATTTTAAGTGGTACTATGGTTAAGTCAGGATATGTCTTTATTCACCTCGTTTGAGAATATCTAGGGAATAAAGCAAATAAATTATATCATAATTCCTCACAAAAAATGCCTACTTTTTTCATGGGAATCTAGAAGTTGTAAACAATATAATCCTCCATTCCATCCTTCCAAATTTGGCTCTATTTCAAAAAATAAACTTGCAATTCCAGTCTCAAAGGTTTTCTTGATCAATTCCAAATACATCTTAAACTATTGTGGAGGTGAAAGAAATAACACTCTTTTGTGGACAAATCATATCTGATTTTAATTTTTATTAAATAATTTTAAAATATATAAAAAATCAATGTATAGGATATGATTTGACCTGTGATATATGAAAACTACATAAAAATTAACCATATTCAGAGTATAAAGTATTATGGTTCACTTCACAATAAAAAAAATCTTGATTTTTATAAAATAAGTATTCCCTGCATAATGTTACTAAAACTAGTAGTTTTTTTTTTTTTTTTTTGACCAATTAGTTTTAAAAGTCACTATGGTATTGTAAGTTCAGAGAAAGATAAAACAGGGTTTCAAGAAACCCAAATCATTATATTTCCATTTCAAATACATTCCTTTAATTTTTTAAATATATTTTTTAGTTGCCAATGGGTTTTTCACTTTATTTGTTTATTTATATGTGGTGCTGAGGATGAAACCCAGGGCCTCACACACGCCAGGCAAGTGTTCTACCACTGAGCCACAACCCCAGTCCCCTTTAATTTTTTTAATGGGAGCTTTTCTGTCAATTATCTATTTATGCAAATTGAATTTAAATAAAAAGTGGTTATCAAAATGAATTTGTATGCCACTCACAGTGGCACACACCTATAATCCCAGCAGCTCAGGAGGCTGAGGGAGGAGGATCACGAGTTTAAAACCAGCCTCAGCAACAGTGAGGCACTAAGCAATTCAGTGAGACCCTGTCTCTAAATAAAAAATACAAAATAGGGCTGGGGATGTGGCTCAGTGATAAAGTGCCCCTGAGTTCAATCCCGGGTACCCCACCAAAAAAAAAATTTTTGTTTGGTGTTGTCCCAATATTACCAGGAAAACATTTTACAATTTATGTCAGAAAAAGAAAATAAAAACCCTCTAGAAATAACAGGAAATATTTAATTCTAAAAATCTCTAAATAATTCTGAACTAGGAAGTAAAAGTTTAGATTCTAGATTTTAAAATTAAAGAAAAATTAAACAGATTTCCTCTAACCTTTTTTGTTTCCTAGGAAAAATGATTAGACCAAATAAAAATGAAATTCCCCCAAACTGAAAAATTTTAGCATTATATAGTTGCCTTTTCATTTTGACCTTTTTGCAATCAAAGAAAACCTTTTCAGTATAAGATGTCATTATTTGCTACCGAAAACTTGAAAGGATCTGAGCTCCACCTGGTGACTAAATACTAGGACTTAGTACTTTTACTTTTGGTTACTACTTAATTTAAACTACTGCTTGTTTTATATTGAAAGAAAATCAAGAAAAAAAAACTATTCTTACTTTAATCTTCAATTACTTTTTAATGTCAAAATATAGTAATTAGACTCTAAAATGGAAAGTTAGAGACCATGTCCACACATAGTTAGTGAAAAAAAAATCAGTTTAGCATGTCTTTATTATGGCATATTGAAAATTTTAGCTTAAAAAATAAAGTAATAAAGATGCAAGTAGGACTGGGGCTGTGGCTCAGCGGTAGCACACTTGCCTGGCATGTGTGAAGCACTGAGTTCGATTCTCAGCACCGCATATAAATAAATAAGTAAAGAAAGAAAAAAAAAAAGGAAAGAAGGAAGGAAGGATGGAAGGAAGGCAGAAAGAAAGGTCTATCAAAAACTTTTAAAAAATTTTTTAAAAAGATGCAAGTATATCCCACAGCTCTTTGAAAATGAGTGAATTCTTCATATTAGCTTCTGAACCAGAATGTCAACGCTGGATAAATACTAGAGGCACATATTTATTGATTTGAGCGGGGAAAAAATGACCCTCTACTTGATCTTGTCCCATGTAGTGGTGCTTTATTTCCTTTCAGAAATTTTGACTAACATAAACTCAAAACAACTAAAGCATCTCTAAAGTAGCAAATAAAAACCAACAAACTTCAATGTAACCTAAGACAAAAGAGAAACCTAAGTGGCCAAAAGAGACACACTTGCTTATTTAAATTTAAAAACAGTATTTCTTAGAAAATTCATTTCTGTGGAAGAGCTTTTACTCCGAAAATGGCAAACAAAGCATATTATAAAAATGCATATTATTGAATTATATCTCATATTCTATGAAACTAAAGAATCCTAGTTGATCTAATCTTTGTTGATAACCAAAATTCTCATTTACATAGAATTTTTAAGAATTAAAAGATTAGATTTCCAGTCCATGGGAATTGTCCATGTTTGATCTAATAATTCATATTTTCTGTTCAACTCTTTGTCTTTTAAAATAGAAGCCATTAAATACAAAGCCTTTAAGATGGTAGAACAGGAAGCCTCAGACCCACCTTCCATCTATGGAGACATGGATTCAACCATACACACCTCAAATTCCTTTACGAGATATCCAGAAACCAATTAAGAGGCTCCCGAACCTAGGTTAGTGCAAAACCAGATGCATCAAAGCAGGTAGGAAAATTTGTGGCACCTTCTCACCACAGTCCCTCCCTTGGAACAGTACCATATGATTGGGAGTAAAGTCCCAGCTCCTGCTTCTCCCGGGAGAGAAAGAAGACTGGACTGTATGTCCAAAGTTCTGACTTTTCAGATTGGCTGCATGAGGCACTTGCCTGTCTTGCTGTCTGGAAGTGCTGACATGACAAGCATAGTCCACATGACCGGGGACTACTGGGAACAGAAGAAGAACTGGGCAGCACAATGCTGCTCTGCAGGAACCATGATACAGGAGATGGAGGTTGATGTAGCTCAGTTGCCACTTCGGGGGTTGGGGGTAAGAGAAGATGAGTGTGTGTCCAAGGTTTTGGCTTTTCCATGAGCTACCCAGGGACTGGTTTCTGCTCACTCTGCCATGGAGCACTGGCAGAACCTGGCATACTCTATTATGCCTGGAACCCACTGAGAAAAGAGCTGGGCAGCAGGCTGCTGTTTACGAGACTCCACAACACAAGAGATTACTAGTCCATCCAAAAACAGAAAGAAAGGGAAAAAGAAACTAGCAAATTCCTCTAATTAGGAATCTAGGCACCTAAGTCCAGAGAAGACAGATCCACAGAAAAGGTTTGAGAGGCTCCCAGAATGCCTAGTAGACCTGAAGAGTAAAGGTCATTTCCTGTGTGAAGCTGTGAGAGGTGGCTGTTCTTTTAAATGTGTGAATGCCATGACAAAGCTGAAGAACAGAAACAGGTAAAACAGACCTACCCAAAAAACAAGACAAATCCTTAGAAACTAACTCTAAAGGAATAAATGTATGTGAATCACTTGACAAAGGACTTAAAATAAATGTCAAAGGGTGCTCACTCATGAACTCAGAAGATGGAGAGAGAGAGAGAGAGAGAGAGAGAGAGAGAGAGAGAGAGAGAGAGAGAGAGAGAGAGAGAGGAGGGAGAAAATAAATGAATATATTTTAACAAAGAGATAGAGAATACAATGTGATGGACATTATTATCCAAAGTACATGTATGAAGACACAAATTGGTGTGAATATACTTTGTATACAACCAGAGATATGAAAAATTATGCTCTATATGTGTAATAAGAATTGTAATGCATGCTGCTATCACATACAAATTAAAAAAAATTAATTAGAAAGAGGAAAAAAGAGCAGACAGCTTATTTACAGAAATAAAAATAAAAATTATCCCCAAACTAAGGGAAAGACTGACATCCAGGTTCAAGAAACCCAAAAAATCCAAATAATCTAAGATACATTATAACAAAACTGCCCAAAGGCAAAGAAAAAACAATTTTTAAAAGCAGGAAGAAAAAAGCAATTGATCACACATAAGTGAACTTCCATAAGACTGTAAATGGATTTTTTAGAAGAAACTCACAGGTCAGAACAGAGTGGCATAAAAGAAAACAAGAACAAAAGTAAATAACTGCTAATCAAAAGTAAATACTAGGCAATCTAAAAATATTTATAAATGGTCCTGAGAACTAGATGATAATTTTTCAGTAATCAATTAGGATATTTTAACATAAACATTTTTGTAACATCTTTTTTGATGTTACTGAGATTTCTTCCTGAATTGATTTCTATTTGGGGAAGAGGGATCCCCCAAAATACAGAATATGATGAAGATCATCTATAATAAATACTACCAAAAAAAAGAGAAAAAGATAGAAAGAATACTAGGCAAAACTGTCCATCTAAATGAAGAAGAGATAAAGACTTTCTCAGATAAATAAAAGCTGAGGAAGGTGGGGTGTGGTGTGGTGGTGTATGCCTGTAATCTCAGCGGCTTAGGAGGCCAATGTAGGAGGATCAGGAATTCAAAGCCAGCCTCAGTAATCTAGGAAGGTCCTAAGGAACTATCAAGACCCTGTCTCTAAATAAAATACAAAAAAGAGTTGGGGATGTGACTCAGTGGTTAAGTTCCCCTAGGTTCAATCTCCGGTAACACACATACACACACACATACAGCTGAGGAAGTTCATAACCACTAAGACCTGCCTTATAAGAAATGCTAAAGGAGGTTTACTAAACAACTACAGAAAGCATATGAATGTGTAATTTGTTGATAATGTTGTCTATAACAATGATACATAAACCTCTCCATCTCTTTTAGGAGTACTAGAGATCAAATCCAGGGAAATACGCATCCTGGGCAAGTGCTCTACCATTGATCTATCTATATTCCCAGTCCCATAAATCACTTTAAATGCTGATACAGAATTTAAAAGATGAAAGTATAAAAACTAATTATAAAAATATGTTAACAGATACACAGTACAAAAAGGGGGTAATTTGTGACTTTGATTATAGACTGTGTTGAGGGAAAATAAAAATGTAAATATTTTGTATGCAATTGAATTTATCAGCTAAAAATAGACTGTTATAACTGTAAAATGTTTCATGTAAGACCCATGGTAACCACAAAGAAAATACCTAGAAAAGCCACGTAAAAGAAAATGAGAAAGGAATCAAAGCATGTCACTTCAAAAGAATCAATGAAATACAAAGGAAGACACAAAGTCAGGAAAAGAGGGACAAAAGAGCTATAAATCAGACAAAACAATGCACAAATAGCAACAGTAAATCCTTCTCTATCAATAATTACCTTAATATAAGTGTATTTGCTCCCTGTCTTACTCTACTCAGGTTGCTATAACAAAGTACTCTAGAGTGAGTGATTTTAAAATAAAAATTTATCCTTTTCAGTTCTGGAGACTGGGAATTCCGAGATTAAGATACCAGCAGATCTGGTATTTTGATAAGCACTTATTTCCTTGTTCACAGATCCCTGTCACCATGCTTAATCTCACACAGAGAAAGGAATACTCCTCTGAATGGAATTATTGTCCTCCCAAGAGACAGTAGTGTGGACAATAATCCCATTGGGGAAGGTATTGCCTCCATGAACCAATCACCTCTCAAAGACTCCATGTCCTAATGGCATTGCCTTGCAGTTAAGGATTTCAACACTGAATGTTGGGTGGACCATACTAAAGCACTATCTAATCAAAAGCCATGGAGGGGCTGAATGGATCCAATATATGCTATATAAAAGATTCATTTAAGAAGATTTCAAGAAAAAGACAAACTGAAAGTGAAAGGATGGGAAAGATTTTGGGTGGCTATACTTTTACCAGAAAAAATAGACTTTAAATCAGAAACGGTCACAAGAGGGGCTATAGATGTAGCTCAGTGGTCAAATACTAGCCTAGCATGTATGAGGCCCTGGGTTCAATCTTCAGTATTGAGGAAAAAAAATTCTGTCACAAGAGATCACAAAAGATGTTATATAATAATAAATGTGTCAATCCACTAGGAAGATATAAAAATTACAAATATATATGCCCTTAATATTCTAGCAACCAAATATTTCTAAAGAAAATACTGACAACTAAAGGGAGAAATGACAATAATGAAAGATTTTAACACCCCCAGACAGAAAGTCAATATGAACCAATTGAATAAATCAATACTGTAAAACTCATAGAACAAAACAGGGGAAGAGCTGCTCCAAGATAAAGCTGAACATCTCCTTCCCAGCCACGGGCTGTTAGAAACTCATTGAAGTGGACGATGAACGCAAACTTCGTACTTTTTATGAGAAGCCGATGGTCATAGAAGTTGCTGCGGATGCTCTGGGTGAAGAATGGAAGGGTTATGTTGCCCAAATCAGTGGTGGAAACGACAAACAAGGTTTCCCCATGAAGCAGGGTGTCTTGACCCATGGCTGTGCTCGCTTACTACTGAGTAAGGGGCACTCGTTATAGGCCCAGGTGAACTGGAGAGAGAAAGTGCAAATCTGTTCGAGGTTGCATTGTGGATGCCAATCTGAGCGTTCTCAACTTGGTTATTGTAAAAAAAAGAGAGAGAAGGATATTCCTGGACTTACTGATACTACTGTACCTCAAAGACTGGGACCCAAAAGAGCTAGTAGAATCCGCAAACTTTTCAATCACTCTAAGGAAGACGATGTCTGCCAATATGTTGTCATTCCTTAAACAAGGAAGGTAAAAAACCCAGGACCAAAGCCCCAAAGATTCAGTGTCTTGTTACTCCACGTGTCCTGCAACACAAGTGCTGGCGTATTGCTCTGAAGAAACAGCGTACTAAGAATAAAGAAGAGGCTGCAGAATCTGCCAAACTTTTGGCCAAGAGAATGAAAGAAGCCAAAGAAAAACGCCAGGAACAAATTGCCAAGAGACATAGGCTGTCTTCTCTGAGAGCTTCTACTTCTAAGTCTGAGTCCAGTCAAAAATAAGAATTTTTATCAGTAACAAATAAATAAGATCAGACCTTCAAAAAAAAAGAAAACAGGGGAAGAACTTCATAATATTGTCTTGGTAAATACCTATTGTTCTATAATTATCATATGATCCAGGAATTTCACTCTTGGTGTTTATTCAAAAGAATAGAAATATGTTGAAGAGATATCTGTGTTCTCATGGTCACTGCAGTATTGTTCCCAATATCTAATAGGTAGAAACAACCTAAAAGTCTACTGCCAAATAAATAAAAAGAATAAGTATGTACATACAATTATTCAGTCATAGAAAGGAAAAAATCTGGTCAGATACTTGACATGGATGAAACTTGACATTGTGCTAAGTGAAATGAGCCAGTCACAGAAGGATAAATATAGCACAATTCAATTTATATGAGATATCTAAAATAATCAAACTCAAAGAAGCAGAAAGTGGTGGTTGCCAGGTTATGAGGTAGAGGGAAATAGGGTATTGCTTTGTACCTTTTAATTATATGAGATCTAGAGATCTGCTATAAGTATTGTGCTTATCTTAATGTTGCACTATTCGGGCAGATTTTAATGTTTTTTACTACAGTGAAAAAAAAAAAATTCTCACTAGTTTTTACTTTAAACCTAGCTTAGAATCTTACCAGATATATAGCGATTTGGGTTATTCCTGAAACGGTCATCCACTAGAATAAGAGCTCCCCAATCATTTCTGTGTCGAATACACCTACAAAAAATAGAAGGAAAATAAAATACATATAACATGAAAGATTAAAGCTAGGTTTCTAGAGGAATTGACAGAAAATTAAGAAAATCAATGGTGTATCAATTATACACACCTATAATCAAATCTGTTATTATAACAGTTACAGAAAAAGCTACCCAATATAATGTATCCAAGTAGGTAAAAAAAAAATAATAATAATAAAAAATCCTCTGGGACTTGGGATGTAGCTCCGTGGTAGATTACTTAGTATATATAAGGCTCTGGGTTTAACCCCCAGAATCGGAAACAACAAGCTGCTGGGATTACAGGAGTGTACCACTGTGCCTGGCTCAGCTATAATTTCTACAAATATACTTTCTCTTTCTTTTTCTCTCTTTCCTCCTTTTGGGACTACTATTGTGTGTATAATATGCTTGATAGGATTCTACATATCTCTGGGATTGTTATTCTTCATTCTTTTTCTTTCTGTTCCTGAAAATGGATAATCTCAATTGATGTTAACTTTAAATAGCCAGATTCTTTCTTTTGACTATCAAAATCTGCTAATGAATTTTTCATTTCATTTATTGTCCTTTTTAACTCTAGAATTTATATTAGTTTTGTAAAAAAAAAAAAAAAATTAGACCTTTATTGATAGTCTCTATTTGCTGAAGTGATCCATCATTCACATAGTTTCTTACAATTCTTTATTCATAGTTCTTGAATATGTTTAACTGACTTTGTCTACTAAGTAAAATGCCTGGGCTTCCTCAGGAAAAGTCTATTGATTACCTTTTTTCCCAGAGTGTTGAAGTACCTTATTCTTTCTTTGCCCATGTCATATTTTTTGTTAACAACAGTACATTTTACATAATATAATGTGGCAACTCTAGAAATCAGATTCCTCTCCTTCCTCACGGTTTTTTATTGCTGTTTTGTTGTTGTGATTTTTCTGAGATAATACTGGAAAGACTGTGTTCTGTTATGTGTGGCCATTGAAGACTACTTGGTTAGATTACTCATCAGCTAATGAGCATATAGAGATTTCTTTAAATGTCTGAAGCCCAATATGTCTCTCATTCTTTTTTTTTTTTTTTGGTACCAGGGACTGAACTCAGGGGCACTCGACCACTGAGCCACATCCCCAGCCCTATTTTATATTTTATTTAGAGACACAGTCTCACTGATTTGTTTAGCACCTCACTTTTGCTGAGGCTAGCTCTGAACTTGCAATCCTCCTGCCTCAGCCTCCTGAGCCACTAGGATTATAGGAGTACACCACTATGCCCAGCATGTCTCCCATTCTTTACTAAAAAGCTCTGCATATGTACAGACATGTTTAGGCGGTAACAACTCTGCCTCAGTATGTACTTCCTGTTTCAACAGATCAAGATGATAGCTTAGGGTCTTCTCAGGTCTCCTGGGCATGTACAGATCTCCATGTCAGTGCAAAGTCCTACACGTATGTGTAGCCCAGTGAAATCCCAGGAATATGTAAGAACTTTTAATCTTCTATTGACATTTCCTCAGCTTTTCTCTCTAAAAGTTTTAGTTATCCTTATTTGACCAAATTTTACTCATTGCCTTATGCTACTATGAAGTTAAATAACTGCTTGGGTGAGCTCAGAGTTAAGTCAAATAAAGACGGCCTTGGGAGTGGGTTCTTCTAGGGAACCACCAAATAGGTCACATAACACTTTATAAGAATACTCTGTGAATAAACTTTTCTTTATTAATTTCTAATCTACACTGTGTTCTTTGCTCATGGTTACCTGTTATCTTTGAATTTCTAGTAGAAGTTCTCTTGAAGTGCTACTTGGATTTTGGCAAATCTGATTTGCTAAATTTGTATCCATATAAATATGAAGGAAATTAGATTGATCCAGTTAGAAGAGAAAAAAAAATACTCTGTGTATGCACTCTAGCCTAATTATATCCCATCCAATGGTTGGCACATTGCTGGTTTTCACCAAGACTATTGGCTGCTGGTTTTTAAGGGTACTGTGAATTTGGACAGAGTGGGATAGAAATGAGGTGAGCTAAAATGCCACAGAGATCACTGTTCTTGAAGGAGATTTCAGTCACTTATTATTGTGATAGTAGGAGCAAATGTGACTCCATTTTGTTTTATGACTTCATCCTGTAAAACAACCATGCCAAGTAGAAGAGTCATGACTGGAGCAAGATGTTCTTTTCCTTTTGCTATAGAAACCTTTAAGAACACGGAACTACCTAATGGGGTATTGTTTCTGCAACTAGGGTAACGGGGCTCTGTTTCTGTAACTGGGGTGACTGGGCTAACTTTGATTGGTTAGGCTTCCCTCCGCTTGACTGCACTGTCCCACTTCTGTAACCTGGCTTGCTTGCATTGGCTAGACCCCTTGAACATCCTTTTTGCGGTTTTCAGGCTTATAAGGAGTGCCCTTGCAATTGTTCGGGGCTGATCAGGGGAACAGCTTTATGTTCTGGTCAGCCGCCACCGGTGTGCTTCAATAAAGGCTTGATTCGATTATACGTGAGTGGTCTGGAAGTCAGTTTATGAAACCCCTGGGACCAAGCTTTAACTATAACATCATGAATAAGTGCTTCCTGGAATGCTGTAACCTTTGGTTAATATCCAGAATTTTGAAAAAGATTTTTAACTATTTTTGTCTATTTTCTCACTGCTTTTAGAATTTTCAGTTTTCTGTTCTACCACTTTTGATGTTTTCAACCAATTTGTTAATACTTTGCTAAAGATATCTTCACCTAAGTTCAGAAGAGATAAAGGTCTGTAGTTTTTTTTTCCCTCTTACTTCTGTTTCCCACCCCCGCTCCTTTTTAGTACTAGGGATTGAATACAGGGTAATGTACACTGAGTTATATCTCTAGTCCTTTTTATTATTTGAGACAAGGTCTTACTAAGTTGCTGAGGATGGTTTCAAACTTGCAATCCTCCTGCTTCAGTCTCTCGAATCAGTGGGATTATAGGCTGTGAGCCACTTCACCCAACAACACCCCCCCACTTTTTTTTATACAGTTCTCATCTGGTTTTAGTAGCTGGTTAGTGATGGCCTCAAAAAATGAATTAGAAAGGGTTCCATCTTCTTCTATTTCCTAGAAGAAATCATATAGAATTGGTGTTATTTCTTCTTTAAATGTTTGGTAATATTTGCTGGTGAACCCATCTGGATGGAGATTTTTTTTTCACAAGGCTTTTAACTATGAATTCAATTTCTTTAATAGATTACTATTGAAGTTACCTATTTCACCTTGGGTAACTTTTGAAATTTTGAAGAATTAGTCCATTTAATCTAAGTTGTCAAATATGTACATACTGCATGGTCCACAATATTCCCATAGTCTTTTCATACCTGTGGGGTCTGTAGTAACATTACATCTTTTATTCCTGATATTAGTAATTGTGGCTTCTCTCTCTGAAGTCAATTTTTGTTAAAGGTATTAATTTTATTGTTCTTTTCAAAAGAGGCTGCTTTTATTTTTATTATTTCCTTTTTTCCCATTTATTATTGTTTTTCTTTTTCTAAAATGTTAAGATTGATTCCAGCTCTTTCTTCTTTTCTAAAATAATCATTTAATGGTTTAAATTTCCCTCTGAGCACTGCATTAGCTGCAAACTATACATTTTGATATGCTGTATTTTCATTTTTGGTCAGTCTGAAACATTTTCTAATTTTCCTTGAGACTTCCTGTTTTACTACAGATTATTTAGATGCATTCTGTTTAATTTCCAAGGATGTGAACATTTATCTGTTAGTGATTTCTAGTTTAACTGTTTTTTTAATATTTATTTTTTAGTTGGATACAATATCTTTATTTTATTTTATATTTATTTTTATGTGGTGCTGAGGATGGAACCCAGGGCCTCGCACATGCTAGGCGAGCGCTCTATGGCTAAGCCACAACCCCAGCCCTCTAGTTTAACTGTTAACTAAAAAAATAATCAATTGCTTATTATGGTTAGACAATATACTTAGTATGATTTTTTTGGTGATCTATATTCCATATGCATTTGAAATCAATGTTTATTTTCCTATTATTGGGTGGAGTGCTCTATAATGTCAATTTATCCAGTTGATTAATAATGTTCAAGGACTGGTCAAGGACTGGGGTTGCGGCTCAGTGGTAGAGGGATCGCCTTGCACTTGCGAGACCTGGGTTTGATCCTCAGCACCACATAAATAAGTGAAATAAAGGTATTTAAAAATATATAATGTTCAAGTCGTCTATATCATTATTAGTTTGTTGACTAGTTCAATTACTAAGAGAAATTTTAAAACCTCTCAACTATGATTATGGATTTACTTCTTTCTTTAGATCGGTCAGTTTTTGTTTCATGTATTTTAAAACTCTGCTTTTAGATAAATACGCATTTAGGATTGTTATGTCTTCTTGGTGACTTATTTGATTCTCAAACTTTGCCACAGCTTTAAAAACTTTTCTCAGTTTGGTCAAACCCTTTATGCTCTGAACCCAATTTATGATAACAGTCAGGCCTGCTGCACAGCTTTCATCTCAGAGCTTCCTTTCCTAATTATTTTGAGCATTCTCTTTGCCCTTCTTCAGAATTGGAACCTGTTCCCTGCATCCTTGATATTGTTCGTTCTAGATATTATTATAATTATTTTAATTATTATTATTATTTATTATTATTATTGCGGTGGTGTTGAGAATTGAACCCAGGGCCATCAGATTAATTCCTGGAAAAACTTAGAACTTGAGGCACTCTAAAATGTCAATGAAAGTGAAGTTAAAAACAGGAGTATCAGTTGTAGATACATATGTGAAGCAGATAGACAGTTCCCTCTTCCATCCAGATTAACTTTTTTTTTTTTTTTAAAGAGAGAGTGAGAATTTTTTAATATTTATTTTTTAATTATCGGCGGACACAACATCTTTGTTTGTATGTGGTGCTGAGGATCGAACCCGGGCCGCACGCATGCCAGGCGAGCGCACTACCGCTTGAGCCACATCCCCAGCCCCAGATTAACTTTTTAAATAAATATTTTGGTATTATAGAATACCAAAATCAGTGTAAAGTCAGGATACCATTCTATTTTGGGTCCACTTCTTTTTTTTTTTTCCCCCTGCAGTGCTAGGACAGAGCAAGCACTCTACCACTGAGCTATATCCCCAGTCCTTGATTTCTGTTTAAAGTATCCTATTGAGATATTTATGTTAATAAAACAATTAAGAGAAAAAAAGGCTCTATCTTTCCTTTTCCCATTGTTTTCATATTGCCTTGCTCAAATAAATTATGCTCACTTGAGAAAAGAGTTTACTTTTAGTAAAGCATACTAGTGAAAAAACTCAGTGCAGTTGAAACCTGGTTACAAAACTATCTGGTATGTTTTTGAAGACTGTTATTATATTTCATAGAGTAATATTATTCCAAGTACTTTAATAATCCACATGGGCTTTAAAAAAAGACAGTATTAAAATAATCAATTGATTTTTGATTACTTTAGATTTTTAAGATGTATCACTTAAAAAAGAGCACCTCAGAATAGAAGTGCCTTTTCTATCAATTAACATACATTATGAGTCTCAACAAATAATGTGAAATATTTATTTGATCTTTACTTTTTTATTTAAACTTTTTTTTTGCGTGTGATATTGGTGATTGAACTCAGGGGTTCACACATGCTAAGGCTCATACATACATAAGAGCTCTACCACTGAGCCACATCATCAGACCTTTTTATTTTGAGACAGAATCTTGCTAAATTGCCCAGGCTGACTTCAAACTTGTGATCCTCCTGCCTTAGCCTACCAAGAAGCTGGGATTACAGGAATGTGCCACTACACCTAGATAATTGTTAAATTTTTTATTGATTATTAAAAGGATATGTTTCTTTCTAACAAATTGCTACTTTTAATGCTGTTTACCTGAAAAATCAGTAAAATGAGAGCTGGGTGTGTCCATGATTTTTATTTAATTTATTTATTTTGTGTGTGTGGTATTGTTTATTTGTGGAACTTAGGCCCTCACACATGCTAAACAAGCACTCTACCTCAGAGCCACATCCCCAGCCCACAAAGAAGGTTACTTTGGCTTCTCATGGTTTCTTGAAATCCAAGGTACTGTTTATACTAAAAAGAAAAAAAACAATCAATTCAATTAAGAATATTTATTTTCCTGAAGCTGATTATAGTAACCGAAAGTAAAGAACTTTAAAATATAAAGCCAGACACGGTGGTACACACCTGTAATTCAAGTAACTGGGGAGGTTGATGCAGGAGGACTGCAAGTTTGAAGACAGCCTCAACAATTTAGATACCCTATCTCAATATAAAAAGTAAAAAAAGAACTAGGAATATAGCTCAGAGGTAAAGTGCCCCTGTGTTCAGTTCCCAGTACAATATATACAATATATATTGATTTTTTTCAAACCTCCCCTACAAACTATTAGCTGAATACTAAAATTCAAACAAAACAGGCAGAAAGGAAATGAAATATTTCAAGAACAATTTGCAGTGCAATTTGATGCCAAGTAAAATGGAATTTCTAGGCGGAAAAGGGTAGCAGGATATCAGTAGCTGAAAAATAGAACTCAGTCATTTAGTTTGAAGAGAAACACATACAAAATGCCAATTTGAAATGATGGGGAGAACAGTGGGTGAAAAAAAAATTTCTATGTAATTAGTAACATGCAAACTCAAAAACAACTTGCTTATGTGCAGAGTACACAAGTTGAAAAAAATCTAAATTCTGGATTTGGTTATGTCACATTAGTGTTAACTGTGAGTCTTTTGGTTGAATTGCAAATGCCATGTGATATGTTTGCATAATTTATTCTTAGCCTAATTTTTCATAATTTTATTTATTTATTTGTTTGTTTTGGTGCTGAGGATTGAATCCAGGGGTGCTTTACCACTATATCTCCAGCCCTTTTTAATTTTTATTTCAAAACAGGTTTTAAGTTGATGAGCATCTCATTAAGTTGCTGAGGTTGGCCTTGACTTTGTGATCCTCCTACCTTAGCCTCATATATCACTGGGAGTACAGGTATGTGCCCAGCTTTAACCTGTTTCTTTTATTTAAATTATTTCTAAATCTTACAGCTTCCTTGGAAACAAAATATTACATGAATAAGCTAATTACATTTTACAAATAGAGAATATAACATTTTAAATTAGTCTGTACAAAATCTGAGTATGATGTTTGAAATTTGGAAGTTGGACTACAATAAGAAATTATGGCATAAAATGTTGATTCAAAAACTTGTTTCACAAAGCACATATCTTGAAGGACCAGAATCCCTGGAAAAAGAAGTATTATGAGTAAATGTTAGCTGGGCAAAGTGGCACATACCTGCAATCCCAGCAACTGGAGAGGCAGAGGCAGGAAGATAGCAAGTCTGAGGCCTGCCTAAATAGAGACCCTGTCTCAAAAAATAAAAAGGGCTGAAGATATATAGCTCAGTAGTACAGTGTCCGTGGATTCAATCCCCAGTACCAGGGGTGGAGTGATTAAATGTTTCATTGGTGTTCTTCACTACTAGGACCATAGCTTTACTGCCAATTACACTATTTAAAAAGTAACTATTTTATCTTTTCTTTTTAAAATTATTCAATATTCTTCAGTTTCAAGGTTATCCATCAATATTATTACTATGCAGAGAAGACACTGACAATGTAGATTGCAGCCAATTGTTATCTAAACTTTAGAAATGACATTAAAATGAAAATACTTTTTTTTTATTAGTTGCCTTCTTTATATAAAAAAGAATAAAAATGATGTAACTTCAAGAGCTTACTGCGCTCTGTAATAGACGTATTTGTTAAGTAACTTTTATAAAATACAAAGTATTCTATACATCGTTAGTGACTGAGTATCCTTTGCAAACAGAATACTTCCTCTCACAGCTGGCATGTCACTTTTGTTCTCTGACATATTTTGGGTGAGATAAACAATTTTCACCTATAAAATTATTTATAGGTGAAATTATATTTTGTCTTATGAACATCAAAACCTCAGGGTTTTGATGTTCATAAGAAAATTTTTTGGTTTGTTGGTGAGCTTCTTTTAATAAACATTTACTAAGCTTCTGTATGCCACTCATTGCTTAGCCATTATAAACTTTCTTTAAACTTTAGCAAATTTTGAGGATTTTGGGGGGTCTAATTTACTCTATTTACTTTTTTCAAGCTTGATTTGGGACCTCTAACACTAAAAATATATCTTCTTAGGGTTCTAATTAAATAAAAATTTACCACACTTATTAAAGAGTAAAGTAGCAATGCTAGTTCTACATATAGTTGGGATCACAGATAGTATTAAAATAACATAATAATAAATTTTACTCTACTTACCTACCTAGGGCCTGGTTTAAGGCCCTATATGCTTGAATTTCATACCACTGACGGCCAGGTAAAAGACCTCTCAATTTTGAATGGTGGTCATTATATTGTCGCTTTAGTTCAACCTAATAATTTAAAAACATATTAGAAATGTGGTAGACAATTAAAGCTTAGTTTTAAAAATCATATTAACTTCTAACATTTAGAGTATTTTTTTTTTAGGGTGAAGAGATTTTTTTTTTTTTTCACTTTTTTCCCCCATTCATTTAAAATAGTTTTATTCATCCTTTTATTCCCTTAAATCCCTCATGCATTTAATTGTGTGATGAGGTCAGGTTTGAGATAATATATATACAGTAAAATTCACATACTTGCAGTACGTGAGTAGGTGAGCTTTTTATTTTTATTTTTTTTGGGTGCTGGGGATTGAACCCAGGTCCTTGTGCATGCAAGGCAGGCAATATACCAACTGAGCTAGCCCCCAAGTAAATGAGTTTTGACAAACATATAGTTCTGTAACTACCATGATTGCATGGTATAAAACTTTTTATTGCCATTAAAAGTTCATTCTTATCTCTTTTCAGTTGATTTCCTTCCTCTACTACTGGCCCTGGTAACAAGTGATCTGCTTTGTTTTGCCTTTTCAAGAATGTCACGTAAATGTTATACAGTATGTAATCATTTGCAACTTTTTTTTGCTTAGCATTTTTATAATTAATTCATGTTAAAAAGTATATAAGTAGTTCATTCTTTTATATTTATCCAATCTGATAATTTCATCATCATCATCTTCTTCTTTTTTTTTTTTTGGTACTAGGATTGAACCCAGGGCACTTTATCACCGGGCTATGTACCCTGCCCCTTTTTATATATTGAGACAGGGTCTTGCTAAATGGCCTCAAACCTGTGATCCTCCTGCCTTAGCTCCCAAATCACTGGGATTACAGGTGTTCACCTATAATCTTTGCTTTTTAATTGGTATGTTTAGACTGTTTGACCTTGTAAATATTGCATCAATAGTTACTGGATTTTGTTGTATTATTTTAATAGTGTCGTATTTCTACTGGAGTGTAGCTAGGTTACTTGGAACCAGTTGATTTTTTCTGAGGGTTAATTTTACATGTTCTTAGGACAGATCCTGAGCAGCCTTTAGGGTTAATTTATCCCCAGCATAAGGGTGAAACTCTTCTGTTGATTATATTCCAAAATATTAATATGTATTATTAGGGTCCCTCCCTCTCACTCTGGCTAGTGAGAATACAAATTATTCCCATCCCTTTGTAAGTTCAAGAAATTGTTCTGACTCCTCTTCTTGGCCTCTTATGTATGTGCCAATTACTAGTCAACCAAAGAGTCAAGGGGACCTGTTTTCAGGCATTTGGAACTTTCTTTCTATATAGCTCCATCCTCTCTGGCACTCTGCAAATTCTTGTTGCCATGCCCTCCTTAAACTCTGTCTCTACCTCTCACTGAGACTGCGGAGCTCAGTTTGAGTTTATTCTCTTGCACTATGTAATGTGACCTGGTAACTATCTCCAGGAAATAATATGGTACAACTGGATGTTCATTTTCTATATTTTCTTCCTCTCAGGAATCTCTGTTCTATTGTGCATATTGTCCTATATCTAAACACTGTTTCAAGACATCCTCAACAATAAACTCATTCTGTAAATTGTACTGAACTGAATAAAATAACTCCAAAGTTAACTTTAAAAAATGGTATAAAATAAAAATGATTTTTCAGGTAGATGTCAAAACATATCCTTATTTAAATAGTGCAATACTGATATGGGACCTAATAAAAGAGAATATTGGAAAACAGAAGAGTTTGGAAACAGACCATTCCTTATTTTGCACATATTACAGATGGAATTTAAAATCAGAGAGAAAAAGATAAATGACTGAACATTAGGAATAACCTTTGAAAAAGTTATCACTAAAAAACAGTAAAGTTGGATATCTATCTTTTGTCATTGTTAAAATAAATCCAGGATATATTGAAAAACTATAGAAGTTATAAAGAAAATACAGAAAATAATTTTATAATCCTAAAGCAGGAAAGAGCATCCAAGCAAGACTATAAAACAAAAGCCACAGAGGAAGTTTTGATAAAACTCTCTACCTGAAAATTAAAATTTCTAAAGTAAAAGAAATCCAAAAATGAAGATTAAAAAAAGTGACACTGGGCTGGGGATGTGGCTCAAGCGGTAGCGCACTCGCCTGGCATGCAAGCGGCCCGGGTTCGATCCTCAGCACCACATACAAAGATGTTGTGTCCGCCGAAAACTAAAAAATAAATATTAAAAAATTCTCTCTCTCTCCTCTCCCTCTCTCTTTAAAAAAAAAAGTGACACTACATAACATAAAGTATAAATAATATCTTTATACACAAAGAATTTCTACATATATTTTTTTAAAAGGCTCCTCCACCTCTCTGCCACTACTGGGGATTTAATCCAGGGCCTTCATAGGCTAGGCAAGTGTTCTACCACTGAGGTGCATTTCCAGCCCTTTTTACTTTTTAAATTTTAAGTCAGGGTTTCACTAAGGTTGCCCAAGCTGGCCTCAAATTTTTGATCTTCCTGCCTCAGCCTCCCGAGTCAGAGGGATTATAGGCATGTACCACCACACCTGTCTAAGACAAAATTCTAAAAAAAGTGGAAGTCATATGAAATTGTTATTAGTAGCAAAAATGCAAATAGCTTATATATACATAAATAAGATGCCTTACTAGTAACCAGGAATACTAAAATAAAATGCTACTTTTCATATATAAGAATGGCAAGTATTTTAAAGAAGGATAATTTCATTTCCATGCCAGTTATGATGAAGTAGCTAGGACTAAATTTCCTACCTTATACAACCACGAAATTGAACAAAGCATATGAGGCAATGCTGTCAGCAGCAAAGGACAAAGGGTCAACAGCACCTCATAAGAAAAGGAATACTCAAGAGGTAAGCATTTCAACCTTCCTATGGGTATAATTTTCCAATCACAGTGCAATGAGCTGCATTATAGAACACAGTGATTCTGTTGAGCTTATTTAGGAAGCTTTGGTTTAGAGCATTCGACGGTTCTGGTATTGGTAGGGCAAAGCAAATAAAGTAGTATGGAGAACAGTCCCATAGTCCACATGCAGGTCTTCTGAAGTTCCTGATTGAAGGTCTGGAAGCATGTCTATATGACAATACCACCCAAGACTTAACAGAAAGCACCTAATTAAAGTTGAGAGTAGAACAGAGAATAAAATAGTTAAGGAATGTCTGAAGATGTTGGAATTCTGGCTCAGCCAGACTAAAGATATGTTGTTACCACCTGTTAACCCCCAACCATCTGAAACATGAAAGGCCAAGTGTCAAGTTAGAAATAAGGATCACAATTCAGAGTGAATCCTATTCTAACCAACCCCAGTAAAGAATTAAACCAGGGCTGGGGTTGTGGCTCAGAGGTAGAGCGCTCACCTACCATGCATGAGGCACCAGGTTCAATCCTCAGCACCACATAAAAATAAAATAAAGATATTGTGTTCACCTATAACTAAAAAATAAATATTCAAAAAAAAAAAAAAAAAAAAAAAGAATTAAACCAAACTGTGACAAGATCCACTGGGAAGAGGATGTTTAAGATCGGATGCTTTGAGTTTTCCCCAAGTCTCCCCTGATTAACTATTTCATTAAGTCATGCCCACACAAGTCCAAGATGATCAGACTCTAATTGAAATTCCTACAAAGAACAAAATTAATATTCTTCAGAGGAACACAATCCAGAATCTCTGTAATGTACCATCCACAATGTCTAGTATATAATAAAAATTATTAAGAAAAGTAACCCAAAATAGGGGAGAAATAAAAGAGAGCAGTCAATAGAAACCAGCCAAGAGGAAGACAACAGCAAAGACTTAAAAGTAGCTGTTATAAATACATATAAAAAATACTGTTTAATAAATGAAATTTAGGGAATCTCGGCAGAGTAAAAATTATTTTTAAAAAGTTCAAAGAAGAATGCTACAACAAAAAATACAGTAACTGAAATAAAAATTCATCCAACAAATTTAATAACAATTTTGAAGAAGGAAAAAGAATTTGAATTAAGAGTTAACAGAAGCAATAAAACACATAAATAAGAGAAAGAAACTTCACATACACGAAGACACATTTTTGGTGTAAAAGAATTAATATATAAATGCATTCACTATTGATCTAAACAAATAAAATTCAAAGCTGAAATAGCACTAATGCATTTGATATAATATGTAGTGTCTCAAAAGTTTCTACTCTTTTTAAAAATATTTATTTATAGGTGGATACAATCTTTATTTTATTATTATTTTTTTAATGTGGTGCTGAGGATTGAATCCAGTGCCTCATGCATGCTAGGTGAGTACTCTACCTCTGATCCACAATCCCAGCCCTCAAAGCCCTCTACTCTTAAATCTTTAAAACTTTATCATCACTAGAGTGAATTATTTTTAAAATGTTTATATGGCATACATGATTCAGACTAATCTACTCATACAAACACACACACACACACACACACACACACACACAGATAAATTAATGAAATTTCCTTGTAAAAAAATTTATCCTTTAAAAAGTAAAATGCAAGTTCTGAGCGAAAGAGAAATATATTGTTGGGCTCTATATCAGTGGATTCAACCAATTGTAGAATGAAAATATTCAGAAAAAAATTGTGTCTTGTACTAAACATGTATAGACTTTTCCCCCTTGTTGTCATTCCCTAAACAATACCGTATAACAACTATTATGTAGCATTCATACTCACTGTATTAGGTATTATAAATAATATAGATGACCTGAAGTATATGAGAGGATATACATAGGATATAGGCAAATATTACACCTTTTACACAAGGGACTTGAGTATCTGTGTATTTTGATAACCACAGTGGGTTCTGAAACCAATCCCCGACAGATACTGAAAGATGAATGTATTATGATTTTAGACTTTTCACACTGAATGAAGGAAGTTTCAAGCATCTCTCAAGAATGCTGTAGACACTTTAAAAACAACATTCAAAGTAGAAAAACTGACATAATATGAAGAAAAAAATTTTTAGAGCTGAAAGGAAACTTGAATTCAGTTCAATATTTGTACTTTTGG